CAATCCCACTATTCGTTTGTAAAAGAGTTGGCGGTGGGTGGTGATGACTAGCTGCTTTCCCTCTAGTCTTACAATGCTAAATTAGGGACGGCAGCTTTGCGCGAAATTCAAAACAAACACTCCAGTGAGTAGCGTTACTACGTAAAATGGGAACTGTGCAAGAAAAGGCTCAATGCGTCATTTGGGTTGTAGAGACCAAGCCAGTAACTGGTGCAGCGTAATTACAGATACCAGTACATGAAAGAAGTATGGGGGGTATATTAAGGGTATCGTTTATTCCACACCTGTAGCAAATATCAAGAAGCTAAAGCGTACGCCACCATCACTGTAATTGTGGACATGTTGAAGCGAACGTGGACCGAAATCAAATGTCGGTTAGACGTACTGAGAGCCAGTAATGATGTACACACAGAAGTCTACTGACATGACAATAAAAACTGCTTGAGTTGTGAGCTACAAGATATTTAAAACTGCATGGTTGTATGTCTTTAGTTATTTAATTATTACATTTTAAAACAGGAAATATAATTGAGAACCACCCTGTATTTCTTGGTTTATATAAATGTGGGAAATTAGTTACTAGGTGTTTCAGCAGATGGCGAAATGGAAAAACAACTTGTAAAATTTATTGTTTAAAGATATTGCATACACATCCCAAATATTAATAAAACGTCACCACTCTTCCTGGGAAATTGTTATAAATTCCTAGAAGATTCTGTAAATTTTAAATACTCCTTATTGTGCTTAGATCGTTCGATTCGCAATATGCGGGTTCGAATTCCCGTCACACCAAACATACTCGCCCCCTTTCAGCCGTGGGGGCGTTATATAGAAACGATCAGTCCCACTATTCGTTGGTAAAAGAGTAGCCCAAGAGTTAGAGGTGGGTGGTGATGACTAGCTGCCTTCCGTTTAGTCTTACACTGCTAAATTAGGGACGGCTAGCGCAGATAGCCCTCGTGTAGCTTTGCGCGAAATTCATAACAAACCTTTCAGCCGTAGGAGCGTTATAATATGACGGTCGTTGGTAAAAGAGTTGACGGTGAGTGATGATGACTAGCTGCCTTCCATCTAGTCTTACATTGCTAAATTAGGGACGGCTAGCGCAGAGCTAGCCTCGTGTAGCTTTGCGCGAAATTTAAACCAAACCATATTTTGATCGCCGCGCATGGTAAAAATGAGCGTAGAACGCGAATATCACCAGATATTCCGCGACAACGTTTCGCTTACACGCAGTCATTTTCTCGCCTGGCCTGAGCTCCGAACTGCAGGCCTATCATTAGACCTTTGTTGTTTTTTCTTAGTACTACTCTTGTTACATTTCATATGTATGAGTCAATTTTTGGGCTAGTTCTGATACGCTACTTATTAAAATCAATTGTAATTAGTGTAGGGAATTGATTGAAATATCAAGATCAATAACTAGCTCATCAGAACCGATCAATCATCGATTATGATCAGTTTGTGACGTTGTTTTCTATTAAGTTAAAAACATTGGAAGAAAGTTGTGTTGGTTTTGAATTTTTTCGATCATTATATATTTTACTGTCCAGGATTAATACGTAGCAAAAAACACGAGAAAAAATCATGTCTTAACTTTGTGCACGCATATCTTATTAAAATCACCAGCTCTTATTTTTTTACATTTTGGTTTTTAAGCAATGAGTTCTTCCTAGTTTTTCTTCAAACAGAATAGATTCCGAGAACTGTTTCAGGCCTTTAATTATCTAACAAAAGTTCGGCTTGGCTGAGTTTGGTCACTGTCAACCAATGGCAATACTCGTCATAATTACATTGTGTTAATACATAGACATGCGCTTTTCTTACTACGAGGTTGTTTGTTGAATTACACGAAAATCTACTCTAGGGTTATCTACGACAGAACTTCTCTAGTTTAGAAAATTGACTAGAGAGAAGACACTAGTCAACACCACAAACCGCCAACTCTTGTGTTACTCTTTCTTTACCAACAAAAAGTGGGATTGTTCGTCACTTATAACGCCCCCACGACTGAAAGGGCATATTCGGTGACAGGACTCGAACCCTCGACTCGCAGAATTGCAGTCTAGCACCTTAACAATCAGGCCAAGTAATACGTTTTATTAGTATTATGTTTATATGAATATGAAATAATGGCAAAGACAAAATAATGTACAAATGTTAATAGTATTTTTTAATTATTTAAATCACCTAAATCATCTTCCATATTGATTAACCTACTGCTGTTATTATTTGTAACTGAGTTATTGAATGAAATTATTATTATTAACGTTAATATATTTGCAAATCAAAGACAAACAATAGACTAAGTCGCTAGGCGTATAATACATCATTACCAATTAGCATTAAGTGGTTATGGGGAACTTTTTTAGGCCTAAAATAATGTAGGAATATAATTTCAAGTCTATTTTTTTATCTGCTACAAATATTGAGTTTTTTTTTGTTTCCAGTTGAATATCACAACTCACCATCTGAGCTTGATATACAGCAACCAGATCATAATAAGGAGTGTTATTTATGTGCAATATTATCGATACTTGTTTAATAGCAAGGTGACTGTGTAATTTCAAGACTTTTTTACTTCGTGTGTCTTTAGAGATAATTTGAGCCAAATACAAAATAAATTATGGTGCATTTACTAATTTATATGGGAAGAACAGTTAGATTTTGAGATAGAAACATTCAATATTTCTCACACTAGTGGACTGTAGCCAACCTCATTCCAATGAAATATTCTAATTGTATAATACAATTAAAGATCATGCAATTTTTACAAACTTTAAGACCATTAAGAGAGGTGTAGTGTTATCCAGACACTACATATTGTTACGTCTCTGGTCGTTAGTTAATTTTCCGTAACTTTCGTTCCGACGAAACTTTAGCGATGCAAGTCGTTTCTTAAATAAAACTGGTTTATTCTTTCTGAATACAACTTTGCAATACACTTAATTTCCACAGTCGCGCTATAACAAACGCTAAATTCACAACGAACGTCTCACGTGCTCAACTCACAATACTCTGTCCGCAGTTCAATTACATAGCATTACATTGTTGGCGTCACGTCTTGACCGTCTTATATATAAAAGCATACCGAAATCTAGTAACCTCCCGAGGATTCACGAAGCTTCGAGAATATGACGTGTTACTAGCGTCACGTGACATCTGCTGTCGTAACTATATCAATACAATTTGATTCAGTGATTTGTAGTGTTATCCCGATACAACATTTTAATACAATTTGATTCATTAATTTGTAGCGTATCCTGACATTACATAATAACACAATTTGATTCTGTATTTGTATTGTTTTGTTGATACTACATATTAACACAATTTGATTCTGTGTTTGTTTTATTATGCTGATATTACATATTAATACAATTTGATTCAGTAGTGTTATCCTGACACTACATTTTAATACAATTTGAGTCTATTTGTAGAGTTATCTTGAAACTACAATTTTATGCAAGACCTTTCTAGCAATTTTTTCAGTTATTTACCTGAAAATTTTTCCATTTAGGATCTTGAGAACCACTTTGATATTTTTTGTACTTTTTGAGTGTGTACTATTTTAAGAACCCATGAGTGTAAGAAAAGGAGACTATGTTATAATATGTCAACCATGCTATATCTGCTGTAGTATAACATTGCCATGAGAAGAAAAAGTTCTATTACATCACAACCATCAATCTAAAACACATAATATGTAGTGTATCATTGTGAATTTTGTAATCATACTGTTACGACAGCGTAAGTCACATGATCCTGGTAACACGTCATGAGTTTCTAGAAGGATCATGACTGTTCCTGGCAACTCTTGTGTTTGCCAGGCGCCCTCTATTTTTGTATATAAGACAGGCAAATAAAGCGAAGAGAATAATTGTAGATAGACAGATATAGAGACAGATAATTGAGTCAAGCGAGCGGTAGTGACAGTAAGTAAAGTGAGTGAATCGTTGTGAATTATAGCATGTGTTGAAGTTAAAGTGACTGTGG